TAACAAAATTAAAAAGGAAAGGAAACTTACAAGGTAAAGTCGGGTGTGATGGGCCAGCCCAGTAGCACGAGCACTCGGGAGGTGGAGACAGCAGACTGGGGTTCAAGATCATCCTCAATCACAAGTAGAGATGAAAGCCAGCCTGAACTGCTTGAGACCTTGGCTTAAAACCAAGCCAAAACACAAAATACAATCCAGAAAAAGAAAGAAATACTGCCACTTCATGTTCCAAATCTGCGCGGGCCAGGTGGTGGGAGTTGGCAAAGTTCACAAAATAATGAACTACTACACTCTGATTGAGATGACACAGTTTGTTCAGTGCTTTCTCTGTTGAGGGCATTTGCTGAACTCCACATCCAGTATGTACTTAACTCTCATAAACATTATATAATATATTGTCCTTAATTTTACAGATGAGGAAATGGAAAATTGACTCTTCATTGTTACCCTGCAAAGTGCTGGAGATAGCACTGAACCAGGCAATCTATAATGTGTGCTCTTCACTATTGACTAGACTATCATTCCAATTTAGAAATCAAAACTCAATGGCACAGTTGTATCTGATGGGAACAGCAGAAGTCACAAAGCCACCACAGCTGCTTGACAAAGATCCAGCAAAACCGAGCTATATGATGGCCCCGTGACACTTTTGGTTTTGATCTCCGCCTATTGCATACTTGGGGGACTTTTAATATTTGTACAATTTGGGGCTGTTGTGTTGATGGAAATCATGCCTTCTCCCAGGAGCACTTCTTCTCAGCTTCCCCAGGAAGGTCTTGAACACTCTACCCCCTCCCACTTTTAGGGAGACATCCTTATCTACTTGAAGGTCTTCCTTGTGCCTTAGAGGTTGTGACACACATAAAGAAACCAAAGGTCTCTATGAGGCTATGAGACATCTGAGAAACATCTGTCCATGTACTTACTCAGGAACAAGATAATCAAAACAAAGTAAACTCAAAACGGTCAAGTTTTGGTGGGCCAGAGGGGTTGGCCACAGATCAGATTATAAGCCTCTTCCCGCTGTACACTCAAGCAATTACATGGCATATACAGCAACATAGATAGATTAGCTGAAGTTACCTCTGTCCTACACAGAGACTTATATTGATGGGCAAAGAATGATGTAGAAAGATGATAAAAGAATGAGCTGTCAGGACCTCCTTTTCTTAGAAAAGTTAGCACATGTAGAGCCACTGTGATGTCTTATGGCCAAAGAACAAAAGAATGCCAGGACTAGACATATAAACAAATCCTATAAAGATATATTATGCCAGAATTTAAATAATAACTGCAGCAGCTTTGGCCTGAGGATCTTTCCTGAGCACTCTGACCATTAAGAGTTAATAATATACTGGTTGGGACACAGCAATCTGCCTGGGTTGGCTTGGAGATTTTGTTTTGGTCTAGGGTCCTTGAAACACAAAAGCTACTAGCCTGAGAATAGGCTGTCATATGTTTCTATGGGTTGTGGGGTTGATGAGTAAAAATGGTTATAAAAGGTAACTGTTGATCGATGATGATGAAACTTAAGGTGAAATGACTGTAAAAGATAACTCTGTTCTGTCAGGGTTATCAGTGATGACTAAAAGCCATGCAAGAGGAAGTGAAGCACATGTCCAAAACCAAAAATGATATGAGCTATGCTGTGGAACAACATGAATGTATCCCTGCTTACTGAATGCTGTATAAAGAAGCACTCTGGCTGCTAGTCTCTATGCTGCAAGATTCTCCGACCATCCTGCCTGGCTCATCCTCCCCTCTCTGCTGACGCCTTCTTCCCTCCTCTCAGGACTTGTCAACTGCCAGGGGCTGGTCCCCAGCAGCTCAATAGGGAGAGGATGCGGCAGACCACACAACCCATTAGGCTAATCAACACTGTGCATATAGTCACTCTTAAGAAGAAGATGGCTAATGTCATCTTTGTAGAAATGACTGGCTTGTTTGTCATTACTTCGCAGGTGTTGGCAGATTGAGGACATGGCTGGTGGGGAGAGTATGCTGGGGGGCTGGCCATATTGGTCTGGGACTCATATTTATTTCCAGAGGTTTCCTCAACCCTCCCTAACCTTGGTTACCAATCCTCATTAAAGCACAGGGGTGGCTCTGCTTGCTTGGTCAGAATAGCAGTCAGTCAACCTTTTCTTTAAAAGAACAGAAACTAAATAACTTGAGACACATCTGTCCCTGTCAGACAGGCTTCTTTTTGCTTGCTATTTTTGTTTTTGTTTTCATTTTTCTTTCAACAACCCAATAAAAAGATGAAAGCCAGCTTTAGGTTGCAGCTATACAAAAACAGGTCACAGCCAGACTTGACCCAAGACTATTGTTGGCAGACCAGAGAACCATTTTTATGTGGATAAACAAACCCTGATATTAGACATGTCTGTTATACCCGATTCCATGAGTCCATTTTGAATTCTGACAGATATCTTTGATCTTGATTTCAATAGTACTCTTCCCAAATGGCACACATTTTTGTAAAGAGAACTTGAAAGGTAAATGCTGTGTTTGTGCTGTAAATTTTATGTATTTAAAAAACTGAAGTCTCATAAAAAAAATATCACACACACACACACACACACACACACACAAAGCACAGGGATGGTAAACTCAGACAGAAAAACTGCCTCGAGCATCTCCTTTGCGCCTGTAAAAGGCTGGTTTCTTTCAGGTGAAAGGGGGCAGCTCTAGTTAATCTGCTTGACCTTGTTCCTGCATTTGTTTTAAAAGCTAGATCTCTCACTCTGTACACCCGGCTGGCGTTAAACACAGAGATTCATTCACCTATCTCTGCCTGCTGAGTGCTGGGATTAAAGTTGTGTGTCACTATGCCAGCTAGTCCCCAAATTCTTGGTCATTCTAGGGAAGCCGTATTGGAAAGATGCTTTTGGTGCCCTTCTTCAATGAACTGGACATAGTTTGGTCACTGGGGAAGTGTGGCCACTCCACATCTTTGTGAGTTTTTGGAACATGGTTCATTCCTAGGGTCCCAGCTGGTCGCTTGAAATCGTTTCCTTTTTCTTTGTGAATTACTTTTGAAACCCCTTCAAGAATGAAGGGTAAGTGGAGGCCCTCAGCTCCTCAGCTGCAGGTTTCCTGATATCATTGGAGGGAAGCCTTGGGTACTCAGGGATGGGGGTGGGGTCAGGAGCAAACCAACCCTGTACAATAGCTGGGCAGCCAGATGTTCACTTTCACAGGTCTCCTGTAAAACTGGCAGGGCAGATACAGATTAAAACGCAGCACAAACTCCATTTAAAGTGCATTACAGATCAGGAGCCAGCTCCCCCTTGGGCAGGAGAAGGGAGGGAAGGGCACAGAGGCCACATCACTCCTCTTCTTATCTAAGACCACATGTCTCTCTTCTAGCTTTGTGAAGGGTGATTTACACCCCTGGCTGGAATGACTCTCTTTCTGGGCTGATTACATCTGCAAATGCCCCCCAGAGGCCGCAGCAGGATGGCCATATTCAGACGAAGCAGCCAATAAATCTCAGAGGTATATTGTACTTCATAGTGCCTGCCCTTTTGGCCCTCTGCCAGTCGGGCTGTGTGTGTGGGGTGTGTGTGTGTGCTCAAGTTGGAGGGTTTGGAGACGAAACCATCCTCTTTCGTCAGCCTTTACTCTTGTCCTTCTAGACTCTGCTAAGTTTTCCTAGTCAGTTTTTACTTGGGAAACTGGTGGGAATCAAGCCCAGGCCTGACAATTCTCCTTGGTCTTCCAGGTGCCATGCTGCGTTCTAGACATTGCAGTTCCTGGCTAGTTGGATCCTGATACAGCAGTTTGCTCACAGGGGTCTCATTGTCAGAAAATGGGCTCCTAAGTGACATCTCCAGTCACTCTTCAGTGATTTAGCCGTAGTTGCGGGGTGGTGAGGGCAAGGTTTCCAGTACAGACTGGTTTGCCTTTGAGCTTATGTGCTCCTACCCCCACGTTGGAGTGTTGTGCTCAGGACTGGATCCAGAGCCTCACTCTATCAACCACGCTACATCCTGGTCAGGGTTTGATCTGTTTAGCAGGGACTGGGGGAGCTGAGGGTCAGAGTGGAAGAATCACCTTTTGACTGCTCTCATGGGTTAAAGGGGCTTAATCTTGGAGCAGCTGGATGTCCCAAAGCTCCTGAGACCTGCCCTGGTTATGCTTCCCTTAATCATTTCATCAGTCTGGGGCCATTTTTCAGAATCTTGATTTTAATAATCACAAAACCTTACCCGTGGAAATATTTACTAAGGACAAATAAGATAATAGATGTGCAAACTCTCTGTCTCTCTCTATCACCACATACACACACACACACACACACACACACACACACACACACGCACACAACCCACGAAATCAAGATACCTTTGTGATGCTTCAAGATTTCTTGGTTTTGTTCTGTTTTGTTTTTGAGACAGGGTTTCTCTGTGTATCCCTGGCTGTCCTGGAACTGCTCTGTAGACCAGGCTGGTCTGGAACTCATAAAGATCTACCTGCCTCTGCCTCCCAAATTCTGGGATTAAAGGCTTGAGAAACACAGTGTCAGTCTGTAGCCCCGAACTCACTCTGTAGGTTAGGCTAGAATCAACACACAGCAATCCTGCTTCTGCCTCCAGTATTTCAGGAGTGAGCCCAGAACTGGTTGATTCCAGTGTTGTTACAAGATTTCATTTGTGGCGGTTATTGTTCCTGGACTGCCCGGGGTTCGGAAAGAGATAGGTGCTTTGTTTCTGACAAATACTTAACAGCAGCAGTCTTACCAGGAAAGTAGTCAGCAGACAGTAGTTTGGCAGACTCTAGGGGCTCACGCTGTAGACTCCAAGTGGGCCCTAAGGTCTTGTACCGCTCTGAGTCCAGGAGAAGCAGCCTCCAGCCTGATGTGCCTGGCGCTTCGGAGTTGGAGGGCGGTGCCCGCGACCCTACTGGGAGAGTGGCGGCGCCGGGAGGAGGGGCGGGAGGCGGCGGTGGGAGGTGCCGGCCGAGGGAGCCCAGCTAGTCCCGCGCACCGAGGGGACGCGGCACCCTGCGCAGGCAGAGCTCCGGGAGAGCGGACACCCGGCGTCCCCACCCCGCCATGGGACGCTCCCGGAGCCCAGGACCGCCGCCGCTGGTGGTCCTGCTACTGGTGCTGTCGCTGTGGCTGCCACTTGGAGCAGGTAAGTGTCCTCTGGGGCTATAGGGCAGGTGGAGCTAAAAGTGTTGGGGCGCAGTTAGCTGCCTTGTGTTCTCGCTCTTCTGTCTCTCCCGAGTCTGGGAAACTAGAGTAGGAAGCCCAGAGTGTCAGAAGAGGGCTGGTTTCCAAGAGTATGGAGCCCCAGCAAATCCTGGCTACCCACGCGTTTCCTCGCCCCTGGTTCTACTTCTTTCCTCTTTTGAGGTGCATCTAAACCAATCATGGGACAACCTGAAACCAAGGCACTACCAAGTCAGCATCCCCAAGAGGTGAGAATCTGACCAGAGGCTGCCATTGGCTCTCAGTGGCCTTCAACTCTTCTGCACCGCCTAAAGGAAGTAGAAGCTGAAGAATTGGTGCAGAGGACACAGAATAGGCTTGTAAACTGTTGTATTGCCGAGAATGCTGCCACCAGCCTGCTCTATTCCTACACTGGGATATGATTTTCAATTAATTACTTAATTGATTGATGTAATTTTTTGGTTTTTCAACATAGGGTTTTCCTGTGTATCCCTTGGCTATCCTGAAACTCACGATATAGACCAGGCTGGCCTTGAACTCACAGAGATCTGCCTACCTCTGCCTCCTGAGTGCTGGGATTAAAGACGTGCACCACCACCACAGGATTTTTATTTTTAAAAAATTAATTAATTAGTTAATTAAACTTTAAGACAGAGTCTCATGTAGTGTCCCTGTTCTGGGACTGACTATGTAGAAGATGACCTTGAATTTCTAATCCTGCTTCCACCTCCCATGTGCTGGGATTATAGATGTGTGCCACCCGGCCGCCCCTCCTGTTTTATGTTCTGGGGATAGAACCAAAGGCTTTGAGTATACTAATAGAGCAGACGACTGAGCTAAAACTCCCAACTGAGCTACAACTCCCACTCTCACTGGATGTAGGCTTGCTTGTTTGCTTGTGGAATTTTTCTTTTTCTTTTTTGCTTGTTTGTTTGTATTTTTTCTTAGTCAGGGTCTCACTATGTTGCCCTAGATGTCCCAGAACTCTATATAAATCAGGCTGGCCTCAAAGTCACAGAAATCCACCCACCTCTGCCTCCCAAGACCGGACATTAAGTTTTTTGTTTTTTAGGTTTTTTTTTTGAGATCCACTTGCTCTATACACTTCTTTTTTTTTAATTGAAAATAGATTTTTATCTCATACTATACATCCTAATGACAGTTTTCCTTCCCTCTAATCTCCCCAGCTCCATCTACCTTCCTCCCCCCAAGCTCTACTCCCCTTCTGTTTCCCGTCAGAAAAGAGCAGGCCTGCAAGAGACAACAACCAAACATGACAAAACGGTACAATCGGACAAAGCAAAAGCCCTCATCCAAGCTGGGCAGGGCAACCCAATGAGAGGAAAGAGGCCCACGAGCAGGCAGAAGAGTCAGAGACACATGCATTCCACTGTTAGGAGTCCCACAAAATCGGTGCAGAGAACTCCCTGTCAAGCCGGTTGGCTTTCCCCAGCAGGGTGCCGGTACAGTGCCTTCCCCACAACATAATTGATCCACAGTCAATTTTATGGGATTATATAGTTCAGAGCTGATTCAGGACCATGATCTACCCCAAGGAAGAGAATCCTAAAGTCCCTGGAAAGAATGATAAAGACCTTAGGAATGAGGAAAGGCACTCACTGTGGGCCTCCTGCCAGAGCCAGAGTAGGAAAACAAAACAAGACAAACAAACAAACACAACCTAGCCCAAGCTGAAGAAACCTTACCGTGAGTGAGAAATCACATACATACACACACACACACACACCAGATGTGGTGCTACAGAAATACAGTCGAGCAGGACATGGTGCTGTAATCCCAGCACTCTCCAGGCTGAGACAAGAAGATCTTGAGTTCAAAGCCAGTCTGGGCTACACAGCAATACCCTGCACCATAGGGAGTGTACTTGCTGTGCAAGCATGAGGACCTGAATTCCTGTTCTCCAGTACTTACATAAAAGCCGGGAGCAGCAGCTCACATCTGTAACATCAGCAGTAGGGGTGGGGTGGAGGGAGGTCTAGCCAAAATAATGAGCTTCAGGTTTGGTAAGAAAACCTGTCTCAAAAAATGAAAGTGACCGGGTGGTGATGACCCACACCATTAGTCCCAGCACTCAGGAGACAGAGGCAGGCAGATTCCTGTGAGTTCAAGGCCAGCCTGGGCTACAAAGCTACACAGAGAAACCCTGTCTTGAAAAACAAAACAAACAAGCAAAAAAATAAGAGTGGCGAACAATAAAGAAAGACACCTAACATGGATCAGTGGCTTCCACAGGTATATGACACACAAACATCCACGTGCACTCACACACACACACACACACACACACACACACACACACGAAACAAATAAACGAGAAAGGGAAAAAAGAAGGGGCTAGTCGGCACAGCCTGTCTCCATCAGTAAATCTGGGCAGTAAGAACTCATCATTCTGCCTTGACTGCCCACCAGGAAATTCCACTCGTCCCAACATATGGCTGCTTGTTAGGGTCAGAGATAAGCACTAAATAGTTGCCTTCCTCATTAATTGGTGAAGTAGAATGACAGACAGGTCCATCCCACAGTAACACTTGTAATAATTTCTGCTCAGGTGGCCTCAGCAGGGCCTATGGATGTGAGTGTACTGCCTTGCATCATTCTTAGGGCTCAAGCACTACAGCATGTGTGTGCTTGAGCACACATGTTCATGTGTGCACCCATGCACGTGTACACACACACACACACACACACACACACACACACACACACACACACCACTGCTGTCCAGTAGCTGCCAAGTGCTGCTTATGAGCAAAGACTAACAGGGACTTTTTAATAATTGAGTAGGAGTATACCACTGCTCACTTCAAGCCAAGCATAAAGGGGACTTCCCACTCTCAGGGAAGTGGCATTATGGACCAAAAATCATTCTAAACTAGATGGAAAACATGGGTTCTATGTTCTAACTTTGAGCTAGGCTGGACTGACTACATGCCTTAATGCTTGTTGTTTTTCTTGACTCGTTCATCCATAAATGGATGTCCATGCAAGGAGCCACCCTGCAGAGAAGCAGATGAGCCTCTGATGCCCCCAAAGCAGAGGCTGCCAATTAGTCCTTCTGTAATGAACCCAGTTAGAACAGTTACAAAAGGCACAAAATGCTTACATGGGGCTGCCGTTACTCAACGCTGGATGTAAGGTTATAGGCAGGGGAGCCTGGGTGTGCCCATTCTTCCAAGAGAAATCATCTGACTTTTAAAAGTCTCCTTCTTGAGACTGGGTCTCAGTTTACAGCCATGTTTGGCCTTGAACTCACAGAGAACACCTTCCTCTACTGGGGGTTTGTGCCACCAGTATGTGCTGGGAAAAGGTATGTGCCACCATGCCTGTGGAGCACCATGTTTTTTGTTTTGTTTGTTTGTTTGTTTGTTTTTTGAGACAGGATCTCTCTAAACAGCTGTTCTGGAAATCACTATGTAGACCAGGCTGACCTCAAACTCACAGAGATTTGTCTCTGCCTCCTGAGTTCTGGAATTAAAGACATTCGCCACCATGTCTGGCTTTTACATAGCCACTAATTATATCTCTGAAAGATTTTCTTTGGGTCAAAGTAGGTAAGGAAAAGTTGGTGTGGTGTGATCTCAGCACTCAACAGTCTGATTAGATTGCCCATTGGCAAATTCCACGACTCCTAACCTGTGGCTGCATGTTAGGGTCAGAGGTAAACATTGAACACCTTCTTCATTAGCTAGTGAAGTAGAATAAATGGTAGGTCTATTTGACAAGGTCAGCCTGATTTACATGGGGAGTTCTAAAGCTGTTGGACTACATATCAAGTTCCAACCAGTCCTGGCTACCTAGGAAGACTGTCTCAAATATAAACAAGTAATACTAAAAAGGAAAGAAAAGAATGTAGACATGTTGTGGTAGCACTTGCCTGGCTTTCAGTCTCCAATTGTCTGCCCAGAACTTTAGATAAAAGAAAGAAAAGAAAAAGGATTAGGGATATCACTGAGCATTGGACCTGTTGCCTACCTAACATGAGCAAGGCCCTAGATTCAGTTTCCCAACACCAGCCAAGAAGAAAAGAAAACATATGTGTCAATCAAAGCAAACATCTGTGCCTTGTATCAATTTATGATCTTGCCCTGAATTAAGCCCCTGTGTCACAATCTGGGAAGCAATCTCTACTTTTTTTTTTTCCTCTTGAAATTTGAATTTAAATCCCTTCAAGTTCTCTGTGACCTGAGGGGCTGGTGAATCTGCCAGACTCAGGCCCGGTCAAGTACCAGCAGAGAGCTTTTTCTTTGGAACCGGTTAGGACTCAACATTTGGTCCAGTTAAGTGTTTGTTTAGTTCAGTGACTGCAGTGAGACTGAAACCTGGGACATTTCTCTCAATCAACCACTAACCCATACTTATTTGTAACTATCATCTCTCTAAACTTTCTAGAATTCCTCAACTTGTTTAAATCCATGTTCCTCTTTTGGTAAAGGTCCTTTCTTTTTTCTCTTTGAGACAGGGTCTCTATCTGTAGTTGTGACTGTCCTGGAACTGGCTATGTAGACCAGACTGGCTTCAAACTCACAGAGATGCTCCTGCCTCTGTCTTCTGGGTGCTGGGATCAAAGGTGTGTCACCATGTTCAGCAAGCTTTTTCCATTTTTGTTCAACATCATCCTTAGTCATTAGGAAAATGTACCAATCATTACATACACATATACAATCAAGTAAGTAAGTAAGTAAATCTCATGCCATACTTAAATATTTTTGAAAATTTAAGAGCTTTGCCCCCCACCTTACACATATGAAGTTATCTAGTAAAACTTTTATTTTATATTCATGGGTATTTTTCCTGAATATACTTGTGGTCCACATGTGTGCACAGTCCTTGAGGTCAGAGAGGGTTCAGGTTTCCTGGGACTGACAGAAGTGTGCCATGATTGCACGCAAGAGCAGTCAGTGCTCTTACTCTCTGAGCTCTTGATCTTTAGCCCCCCTTCTTTTTCTCTCTTTAATTTTAAAAGACTTATTTTATTATTTATGTGTATGTCTGTATGTGTGTATCTCTCTCCCTTTCTACGTGAGTGCAAGTGCCAAAAGAGACTGGAAAATTGAATACCTTGGAACTGAGGTTGCAGCCGGTTGTGAGTTGCCTGATGTGGGTGCTGGGAATTGAACGAAGGTTCTCTGGAAGAGCATTATTCTCTCTTAAGAGCTGAACCATCTCCATGGTGCTTTCTTCTTCCTCCTCTTCATCTTTTATATTTGTTTACTTATCTGGGGTGATGGACGGCACACGTGCAAGTCAACGAACAACCTGCAGGCATTTCTCAGGCTTGGTAGAAAAGTTCATCTTGCCAAAAAAACCAGCATGGACTTTTAAATGGTTGTGGTGGCCCCTGAGGGGACTGTCTCTAGCCCAGCCTGTGCTAGGCTATAGAATAAGACTCCATTTAAAGGAAAGTAAAGAAAGAAAGCCACATGCTTAGTAAGTGACAGAGTTATTGTCATCTTTCATGGATTTTACCTCATTACTCTGGGTAAATTTCACAAATGTGTTACTGAGCAAAAGAAGCTGTGTCATGCATGGTGGCTCATATCTGTAATCTCAGCACTCAGGAGTCTGAGGAAGGAGGAAAGGTGAAGAGTTCAAGGCCAGCTGAACTCCTGGGGTACATTGGGCCATTTAGGAAGAAAACCTCTAAAAGGGGCTAGAGAAATGCCTCAGTAGGTAAGAGTGATTACTTGGTAAGCAAGAGGGTTTGAATTCAAATCACTAGCATCCTCAGTTAAAACAATAACAAAAACAAAACAAAACAGTCATGGCTGTGTGTACCTGTAACCCTGGCATTGTGGGGCAGAGATAGGCAGATTCTTAGAGCTTGGTGGTCAGCCAGCCTAGACAGAAAGATGAGCTTCTGGTCTAGTGAGAGATCCTGTAGCAAGACAACAAGGCAGAGAACAATAGAGAAAGACACCCTTTGTCCTGCTGTGGCTTCTGCATGTGTGTGCATAGACACATATACTGCACACAGGCAATACTCCACACAAATAAATAAACACACATATATGTACATACATACATACTTGCCAAGATGCAAAAAATATTGAGTGAAAATAAAATTGATCTCTGGTGTGTGCTGAGAATTGAACCTGGGTCCTCTGGAAGAGCAGCCAGTGCTCTTAACTTCTGAGCCATCTCTCCAACACCCTCCATACCTATTCTTAAAGGGCTTTGTGATACCCTAACATCTGCTCATGATTTCATTGGAATCTGTCCTACCTTGCCTCACGATAGTACTCCCTGGCAGATTTTGCGGCCTCACGTGATTGCTGTCTTTACAGGAGATTCCCTTCCCACAGAGAGCAGGCTTGTGAACAGCTGTATCCAGGCTAGAAAGAAATGCCAGTCTGATCCCGCTTGCAAGGCTGCCTACCATCAACTGGAGTCCTGCACCTCTAGTCTAGGCACCGAATTGCCCTTAGAGGGGTCTTCCACATCTGCAGACTGCCTAGAGGCAGCACAACAACTCAGGAACAGCTCTCTCATGGGCTGCACGTGCCACCGGCGCATGAAGCACCAAGCTACTTGTCTGAATATTTTCTGGACTGTTCACCCTGCCAGAAGCCTTGGTAAGGCCACTCTCCTAGAGTGTACTAAGCAGGGAAGGTAGATTTGGGGCAGTCATTTCTCAGTGGTATAAGACAATATAGTTGATTTTGAAGAGGATGAATGTGTTGTGCATATGGCGTCAGTAAGAGATACAGGGAAAATCTGGCATTATCTTATTGGGTCCTCTACCTATTTCTTCCTTCCTTTTAGAAACATTTTTAGCCTCTTACCGGGTGTTGGTGGTGTGTGTTGTTAATCCCAGCACTGGGGAGGCAGAGGCAGGCAGATCTCTGTGAGATCGAGGCCAGCCTGGTCTACAGAGAGAGTTCCAGGACAGACTCCAAAGCAACACAGAGAAACCCTGTCTCGAAAAACAAAACTATTTTTTTTTTTTTTAGACTTTTTTGTTACCACAAAAGTCCATTAAAAAGCAGACTAGTAGCTGGAGGTGGAGACTCATGCCTTTGATCACAACAGTTGGGAAACAGAGGCAGGTGGGTAGGTCTCCAGAGCTTGTCCCAGAACAGTCAGGACTATACAAGGAAAACCTGTCTCAAAAAACAAACAAGATATTTATTTATTCGTGTGTGTAGATATATGTTCATATGCATGCCAGGGTACACATGTGGGTGTCTTCTACCTTATGGGTTCTGGGAATCAAAGCTTGGTGGTAAGTCCTTTTAACTGCGAGCCATCTTGCTAGCCCTTTGCATCCACTTTTCTTGTCTGTATCATCTTCTTCACAAAGCTCTTAAGCCAGGGAGATTCCCAGCCTGAGGAGTTCTGGAAATAGGATCCTGAGAGAAAATGAGGAAAGTGGTCTCAGCTCATAACAGGTTGAGCACACCATGGGACCTATGGACTCAGAGAGAGTAGGAAGCGCACATCATTTAAGTTTGTAACAAAAAGGTTTTCATTAACTAGACAGGAGTCAGCAAGAGAGAAGGTACAGAGGGAGCCAGCAGGAAATTCTCTACTCATCACCTCTGTGTATCCCTGGCTGTCCTGGAACTTGCTCTATAGACCAGGCTAGCCTGGAACTCAGAGGTCCTCCTGCCTCTGTCTCCCAAGTTCTGGAACTATGTTGTGATAGAAAAAAAAAAAAAAAAAAAAAAAAAAAAAAAAAAAAAGACTTCCAGAGGTGAACATGGAGGCTTGTAATTCCAGCACTAGAGGGACTAAGGTATGAGGATCTCCACAAATTTGAGGATAGCCTAGGCTAGTTAGACCCTGTCTCATACAACAAAACAAAACAAAAACCCAAAAGAAACAAACAAAAAAGGATCAAAAAGGGCTGGGGAGGTAGCTCAGTCAACCTTGCAAACACAAGACCTCTAAGTTTGATCTCAGAATCCACATTAAAACAAAACAAATGGGCATGTGACATTTGTAATTCCAGGACTGGGGAAGCAGACAGGCAGATCCCTAGGGGTGCTGGCCAGGCAGCTGAGCCTGCTTGCTGAGTCCCAGGCCAATGAGGGGCCTTTTCTCAAAAAACAAACAAGAAAACAAAACAGGAGGTGGGGTGGGGATGGGCTGGAAAGTTGTTTCAGTGGTAAGAGCACTGGCTGCTTTTCCAGAGGACCTGGGTTCAATTCCCAGCACCCAGGAGATGGCTCATAACTATTGTAACTCCAGGTTCAGGGGATCTGACACCCTCTTCTGGCACTCGGACACTTTTTTGCTTTTGCTCAAGGGTGTTAACTATGAGTCACAGAATGGCCTTAGAGGTGTGACCTCCTGCCCTCAACCTTTGAGTGTAGAGAGCACAGGCATATGTCCTGGCTCATGAAAATTTCTCTGCTGGGTCTGGATCTGGCTCCTCTTGATCTAGAAACCCATACATTGAAGACAAGTCATTTGCCTTCTGCATGGTGAGGAACAGAATCAGGACACAATTAACACGCAGAGAGGGGGCTCTGGGAGGCATAGGGCACACTGACTCATAGCTTAAGTTGAAAGGTCCTCTTCCTTAGGAAGAGGGATGCTCCCTTTGCTCTGGGGTGCTGTTGCCCTGTCCATTGTTCTGTAGGACTCTTGGCCCGGCCCTCTGCCAGGTTCTTGCTTTTCAGTTACTCTCTTTGGCCATGTTTAAAACGTGCACTGGAGGCTGCAGCCTCCTTGGGGACTGAGCTGTATTCTCAGCCTGCTTCCTGCCTGAAGGATGTCGGAGATTTTAAGTCTCAGAGTCTCTTTTAATATGGGCTGGTAGCTCTTGGCTGTACAACACATAATTGCTTTTTCTATCTTTGATTTCTGTCATCTCGTGGGCCCAGAAACCTTTCCCACAATTTAAGACATGTGCTTCCTTCTAGACCGAATTAAAAGTCCGTTGCCCTTGTCAGGCCTCCAAGGGAGTTACTGTTTTAATCTTCCTTTTTCTTCTCCTGATTATATCTGTCCAACTGACAGGATTCACTGCTAACCCTTGATCAATCAAGAGATCCCAATGACTACCAGGGCACCCATGTGTTTGATTTGTCTTTCTTCCCCGTTGAGTTATGACCAACTTTATAACTCCAAACCCTTCCCAGCCTTATTTTCTGTCTGAATCGGAGAGGAAGTCACATCTCTTAATCCCGTGTAAATCCTGAAATTCCTGATCTGTTTTGGTTTTGCTGTTGGTTTGTTTTTGTTTTTTGTTTTTTTGCAATGGCCCTCTTGAAACACATGGCTTCTACATGTATGATCAGAATTATAAACAGTAAAGTGTGTTTCTGCTTCCCAGATCATTTTTTAAAAATTATTTTTATTGATTTGGTTTTTACATTCCAATCCCAGTGTGATTCCCTTCTTCCCTCCCACTGCCGCCCCCCAACATCCTCTACCTCCCATGTGCTCCTCAGAGAAAATCAGGTCTGTCCTAGGAAGTCTACTAAGTCTGTTCTGTCATCTCGTTGAGGCAGGGCCAAATTACCTCTCCACCCTCCACACCCCTGTGTCTACGCTGAGCAAGGTACCTCTTGTCTTTTATTTTTTGAGACAGGGTTTCCCTGTGTAGTTTTGGCTGTCCTGAAATTCACTTTGTAGCAAGTCTGGCCTCAAACTCAGAGATCTCCTTGCCTCTCTGCTGTCTTGAAAAACAAACAAGCAAACAAAAACCAAAACAAATGCTAGATTAAATTGCAGTTACAACAAGCCCTCCCCCCAGAACCCGGGCTTTTAAAAAGGGAACTGTATTTCTTGCTCGTGTTTTACATCTGATGCGAGCTTCCTTCAATTGCCTTAGCTCCACCTTTTGTCTTCATGGAAGGATCCAGGCTGGTAGAGAGACAAGGAGGGCAGCAGAATCATGTGATGGTTCTAAAACTTATGCTCAGATATGATTGACATTGACAACATTTTATTCTAAACTCCATAGGCTGAAGTCATATGGCCAAACCCAACACCAGTGGACTGAGCATGCATATTCCTCTCACAGGGACCTGGAAGTCCCATGGCAACAGTAGGGAGGTGTAAACCCCCCCCCCCCACAGGATTGGGTGATGGGGCGGAAACCAGAAGTGGTGACACCATCTACTGCATCCCTGTTCCTGCCCTCCACTACTCATCCTTTTTGATCTTCCCAGAGGCATCTTCTGGGACTCTCCCACTTCCTGCTGCCCTTTCTTTTTTAAGGCCCACTCTTCTCTGTTTGACTGACATCTGTGGTCCTGCAGTCTTGAAGATGCATTTACAAAGGCCTGTTGGGTGACACCAGAAAACTCCCCTCTTTCTTCCAATGTGATCAATTTAGAGACAGGGTCTCATGTACCCAGGCCAGCTTCTAACTTGCTATGTAGCCAAAGGTGACCATGAACTCTTTGATGTACCTACCTCTACTCCTTCAATGCCGGCATAATTACAGGCAGGAACCACTATGCCCAACTTATCGTTGATGCTGGAAGTAACATGCCAGGCAAGCACTCTAACCCTGAGCTGCATCCCAGCTCCCAGCAATATTTATTGAGCACCCACCATGCTTATAACCTAGCAAATGCCCTTTAGGAGTCCAGAGCCCCACAGGATGACTGAGAGAGGTTTTGGTTGTGGGGTCACTGTGTCTTTCCTTTCTCTGTTTTTTTCATTTCGGTCCAGCTCAGTTCCTGTCCTCACTTCCATTTCTGGGCTGTATTGTGTGTAGAACACAGTCCATTTCTGTTCCTTCTGTAATGGCAAGGGAAGTGAAAAGCATCTCCTTGCTTGATTGTGTGCGCATGGCCAATGTCTACACTTAGGTGCAGAAACTCTGGAATCAGTGCAGATTTCATATCTCCCCTGCCCATCTATTTGAGACAAGGTCTCTTTATGTAGCTCTAGCTGTCATGAAACTCACTATATAGACCAGGCTGACCTCTAATTCGTAGAGATCTGCCTCCCTTGTCCCTACCCTTCATCACCATTGTGAGGAAAGGTGTGCACCACCATGCCTACCCCAGTTCCCCTTCTTATTAAGCTAAAGTGAATCTAAGCAAGTCACTTAACCTCTCATCCTCAGTTTCATCTTACCTACTCAGATCTCTAGGAGGGATGAAATGAGGTGTGTGTGTGTGTGTGTGTGTGTGTGTGTGTGCGCGCGCACACACACACGTGCCTGGGGTCCAGTGAGTTTAACAATGATACCTCTTAATTATCTCATGTATTTATTCATCAGGCCTAACCTGTATCTTCATGGTTCTGAATTATTCTCATCTACACAGCTCATAGCTCCCTAGGTACGAGGCTATGCCTTTTGTTTTGCTGTACAAGGCCTTGCAGTCTGATCCAGCAACTTCAGCCCTCCCTGCTCCCTTTTACAAGTTCTCTCCTTGGCTTTCATTATTCCCTGTTCCTTCTAGGTGACTATGAGTTGGATGTCTCCCCCTATGAAGACACAGTGACCAGCAAACCCTGGAAAATGAATCTCAGCAAGCTGAGCATGCTCAAACCAGGTGTGGAGGACAAGCCTAGGATGGGAAAAGGGAGGCTGGGCCTGGGCTCTGAGGGGAGGGTGGCTGAAGGGAGCATACACTGGGGGCACTTTGTGGGGATAGTTTCTGCCTGCTGTGTCAGGATGGAAGTCTGAGCTATGGTGCAAGATCTGTGTTCACAGGAATCATTAAAAAGCAGCAGTTACTAGGGAAACCTCCATTAGGGCCACTGGTCCTCAGGAAGGGTGTGTGAGAGCAGTGGCGGCAGAAAACATGCTGAAATGGAGTGTTTGCCCACATTGAAGGTGGCCAGGAAAGCAGTGTCTACAGAAGTCCCTAAGGACTAGGAAATTGCTTGTTATCAACCATTCTAATGGGGTGGGTGAGAAGTTGGGCAGAAAAAAGTAGCAAACATCTCATTCCTCACAGGGGTCACTCAGGGTGGGAGCTCTTAGTCCATCAAGGGCTGTGATGCACATTTTCCTCAGGACAGTGAGGCTGTGAACTACTTGAGAAAACACAGAAATGCACTGCAGGGGGCAGGGGGTGGTAGTATATGCCTTAACCCAAGCTCTTGAGAAGAGGAGGATGATCAGGAATTCACGGTCATCCTCAGCTACAGAGTGAATTCTGGGACAGCCTGGGCTACCTCTCTAAAAACACAAAACAAACCAACAAACAAACAAAAACAAAGAATGTGTTCAGGCATTAGTTTTTAAGATACAAGTAAGAATTATTGTATAGTATAGTTGGTTCTGTATTTTTTCAGTTAGGATTTTTCTTGTTTTTGAGACAGGGTCTTGCTATGTAGCCCAGACTGGCTTTGAGGTCTTGCTCTTTATTCTTCTGCCTCCAAGTGCTAGAATTATATGAGTATACTCCTGTGCCTGGAAGAATTCCTGTGTGTGTGTGTGTGTGTGTGTGTGTGTGTTATGTTTGTTTGTTTTGGGTTTTTTGTTTTTGTTTTTGTTTTTTTGAGGTAAGATCTCACTATGTAGTCCTGGCTGGCCTAGAACTCACTATACAAATCAGACTTGCCTCAAACTCACAAAAATTCATCTGCCTCTGCCTCCTGAGTGCTGGGATTAAAGGTATGTGCACCAGCTTGAGTTTTATATTATAGTCAGTATGTATATTAGAATTGGAATTTTAAGGAAAAAGCCCATAAACTTATACCTAATAAACCCATTAAGAGAAACCAGTAAATAACCTGTAAAAATCACAGCCTGCTAGAATGTTCTGGGTTGTTGGAATAGTTTTTTTTAAAAAAAAGATTAATTTAATTGTCATGTATACAGTATTCTGCCTGCAGGCCAGAAGAAGGCAGCAGATCTCATTATAGATGGTTGTGAGCCACCATGTGGTTGTTGGGACTTGAACTCAGGACCTCTAGAAGAGCTGCCAGTTCTCTTAACCTCTGAGCAACCTCTCCAGCCCCCGGAATATTCTCTTAATAGAAATATCATCAGGGGTGTGGGGCTGTAACTCAGTAGTGTGTATACAATATGTAATGAATCCTGGCCCCACAACTCCATACAGGAAAAATATCACTCTAGCTGTGTGGTGATGGTACATACCTTTAATCCTAGCACTTAGGAGGCAGAGGCAGGTGGATCTCTGTGAGTTCAACACTAGCCTGGTTTAAAGAGTGAGTTCTTGAACACCTAAGGTACACAGAGAAACCATGTTTCGTTACAAAGTTTCAGAATACAGGAGAATTTCCATATGTGAATCAGTAAATGAAAGATGGGCAAGTGACATAACACGGAATAGAAGAAACGGAAGATGGGCATGGCAGCTCATACTTGTACCCTCACACTTGGGAGGCAGGGCAGGAGGAGGACCTGAAGCTCAGGCACCTTGCTAGACGGCAAGCCAAGGGCCAGTCTGGGATACATGAGTCCCTGTCTCAAATCCAGGACAAATGAGCTGACTTGGTGGATGAGGGCTTTTGCTGCCGAGCCTGACCACCTGGAACCCATATGGTGCAGGAAGAGAACCAACTCCCTCAAGAGTTGTCCTCCAGCTTCCACACATGCTCCATAGCAACACACACACACACACACACACTTTAAAAGAAGAAAGGAAAAAAGATCTCCTCAAAACAAAACTCTGAACAGAAGAGAAAGGCCCCAGTCAAACCTAAGCAGAATTAGGTTGCATTGTCTTAGCAGCTGGGAAGTTCTCTGGGGTGTTGCAGAGCTTCTGGTTGGTGATTTCTGCCACCAGGTCTCACAGCATAGGATAGATAAATGAGTGGGTGTTAGATGTATGTGGATGGTGGTGGTGGTGATGATGATGATGATGACGACAACGAAGATGATTTAACCAAAGTAGATAAGAGCAGGGAAGGAGATAATCTAGAAGTGAATTAATTCAGCACAGTCCTTCCTTTCTGCCACCTCCACTACTTGTCACCTCAGGGATTGGCTGGGCTGCCTAGATGGACTCATCTGGTGACTTGGTGCTGCTCTCCCCACAGACTCGGACCTCTGCCTCAAATTTGCTATGTTATGTACTCTTAACGACAAGTGTGACCGCCTGCGCAAGGCCTACGGGGAGGCATGCTCAGGGTTCCGCTGCCAGCGCCACCTCTGCCTCGCACAACTGCGCTCCTTCTTTGAGAAAGCTGCAGAGTCCCATGCCCAGGCCCTGCTGCTATGTCCTTGCAGTCCCGAAGATGTGGGCTGTGGGGAGCGCCGGCGGAACACAATCGCCCCCAGTTGCGCCCTTCCTTCTGAGGTCCCCAATTGCCTGGACCTTCGGAGCTTCTGCCGTGCGGATCCTCTGTGCAGGTGCACTGTGAGGGTGGGCAGGATGGGCAGGGATGTGGCACACCTCTCTATCTGGGTCTGGCTGTCCTTCCTCAAAAGCTACATCTGATTCCCCATGAAACCGAGAGCCAGCCTAGTGGCTGTTTGGATACTTTGTGAAATCCAAGATTCTTTGGATATTTTGTGAAAGCCTCCCTCTCACCCTTCCTTCTTCCTTTCTGTAGCCCAGGCTGTCCACGACATTATGTAGCTTACGCTTCCCCTTGATTTTCTGAGTTCAGGGGATTATAAAGACACCCCACCATTCCTGGTCATGAGACTTACTTTATTTTACTTCTTGAGGCAAGGTTTCATATAACCCTGAACTCTTCTGATCCATCCCTCTGCCTTCTAAGTGATCCACCAATTTAGTTCCGGACCACACAGGGGCACAAAGTAAGACCCTGCCTAAAAACAAAAACAAATGAAAACAATCAAAAAACCCTATGTTTATTGTTTATTCACTTTTTTAGTGGAGTGAGGATGGTGGGGGTAGCCCTGTGGAAGTCAAAGGTCAACTCTCTCCTTCCACTGAGTAGGTCGTGGATAGAGAGGGAAGAAACTCTTCAGGTTTGGTTAAGTGATTTCATGTCACTGGTCCAGAAACTGTTTCTTTCTTTCCTTCTTTCCTTCCTTCCTTCCTTCCTTCCTTCCTTCCTTCCTTCCTTCCTTCCTTCCTTTCTTTTAATCTTGTTTTGTTTTTGTTGTTGCTACTGCTCCTATTTTCATAGCCCTGGCTGTCCTGGAACTCACTAAGTAGACCAGACTGGCCTTTGAACTCAGAGATCTGCCTGCCTCTGGACTGGAGACCCTGGGAAATGGAGGTTTGCACCTGCAATCCCAGTGTTCTGAGAGTGGGAGGCAGAGGCAGGAGGATCCCCCCCCCAGCCTCTGGCCCAGGCAGAAGTAGGCAGCTGCAGAACGAAGGAAGATCCTGTGTCAACAAGTTGAAGGCACGGGATGACCCCAGAGGTTTGCCTGTCTTCCCCATACACATACCATGGGTCCCTAACCACTGCCCATGTAAATGAGGGGAAAAGTTTTTCCTCTTTTCAAGACAGGGGTTCTCTGTAGCTTTGGAGCCTGTCCTGGAACTTGACCAGCCCAGGCTGGTCTCTAACTCACAGATATCTGCCTGTCTCTGCCTACCGAGTGCTGGGACTAAAGGTATGCACCACCACCGCCCAGCAGGAAAACATTTTTTTAATTAAAAATTAAAAAAAGAAATAAAATTCCAAGCCAAGATAGTGGCTCGCATCTTAACTCTCAGCATTTGGAGGCCAAGGGAGAAAGAGCAGAAATGCAAGAACACCATCAGATGCACCCTGAACTTGAGGCCAACATGGGCTCTGTAAGACCTTGTCTCAAAAAAAAACAAAAATTAAAAACAAATCAAAATTAAGTTCTTTACAAGTGCAACATTCACTGAGCACTTACTCTTCCCCACAAGGCTGAGGACCCCGAGCAAGTTAACTCTGACCAGAATCCCATGAGATCTGTAGTGTTAGCCTAGTTTTTACAGAAAACTACATAGAACCTTAGAACCCTCAGGCAGGAGGGTGCTCGAATCCAGGAGTTTAAGATCACCTTGAAAAACACAGTAAGACAGTTGCAAAAGGTGAAAATTAAAAGTGTTAATGAGGATGTTTTCACAAAGCCCAAAAAAATCCAAAACAATGTGCTAAAGCATCGCTCAGCATTCCCTGACAGACATTCCCAGGCTTTCATATAGGATATGCCCCTCACCTCACAAGTGATTTCCTATGGAAGAGGGTGAGTATGAGTAAGATGTTTCAAAGTCAAACGGGTGTGAACTTAAGTCCTCATTTAGGTGCTAGAGAGATGTCTCGCCTGTAAAGAGCACTTGAAGCTATTGCAGAGGACCTGAATTCAGTTCCCCCACATGAAGACTCACACCGTGTAGAACTCCAGTTCCGGAGGAATCCAACTCCATCTTTGACCTCCATCAGCACCAGGCACACACATGGTGCACACACTTTCATTCAGGCAGACATATACAATACATACATACATACAAAATAAAGATAAATTAATCTTGTTTACAAAGCTTATACTGGGAGCCCCTTCCTACAGACTTGAGGCAGCTTTAGATACTTATTATTTACTGTTTAAACTTCATAAGAAATCTATAAGATGGTTGCTATTACTATTTTGTATCACCCTCAGTTTACAAATAAACAAATCATAGTAGAAAGAAGTGAAATAATAAGACTGAGAAGTGGTGGTTCATGCCCTTAGTCCCAGCACTTAGGAGGCAGAGGCAGGCAGATATCTGTGAGTTCAAGGCCAGCCTGGTCTACAGAGTTGTAGTTTCCAAAGCTACACAGAGAGACCCTGTCTCAAAAAAAACAAAAAACAAACAAACAAAAAAGTGAAATAACATCCTGGAGGCCTAAAATAAATTAGAGTCAGTTTCTTTCTTTTCTTTTTTTTTTTTTTTTTTTATTGTGGTTAGGAACTTCTTAGGTAGACCAGGCTAGCCTCAAACTCTCAGAAATTTGTCTGGCTCTGCCTCCTGGGATTAAAGGCATGCACTACCATGTCAGAGGAAAGTCAGATTTCTAAATTTGCTTTGGAAGGCAGGAAGGTGACTTAGTCTTTAGCCATTCTTCACTCCTGACACTGTTCTGGCAGCCATTACTATCATCTCACACATTTTAAAATGAGTAAAATACTGGCCCTGCCTTTAAGGAGTTCCTAGTTGAGTAGAAGTAATAGAGAAGTAAACCATTAACCTAGCACAAGTCAAAATGTAATACAAAGTGAAGAAACATATACAGGACATACTCAATTTTAACAACTAAAGATAGCTGTCATGATAGGTGGGTTTTGTTTGTTTGTTTTTGTTTTTTTACTTATTTTTATTTTATATGTATTTTGTGTGTCTGCATGTATGTCTCTGTGCCATGTATATGCCTGGTACCTTAGGAGCCAGAAAAAGGGATCTGATCCTGTAGAATGAGAGTTACAGTTGATTGTGAACCACCATGTGGGTGTAAAGACTCCAACTCCTGTCCTCTAGAAAAACAGCCAGTGCTCTTGACTGCTGAGCCATCGCTCCAGTCCTGGGGATTACATTTAATTACAGTAATTGATGTGGGAGGACCCAACACTGAGAGTGACACTATTCCCTGTGCTAGGGACTGTATGAAAAGAGAAAGTGAGCTAAATACAAGCATGCACCCATTCTCTCCCTCCTCTGTGCTGTGGACATGACTAGCCGCTTAAAGTTCCTGCTGCCGTGGCTTCCTTACTCTGTTGGATTGTAACCTGGAATTGTAAGATAAAATAAAAATCCCCAAATTTTATCACAGCAACAGAAAGAGAAACTAAGACAACTATCAAAAATAAATAAATAAATAAATAAATAAAAGACAACGGTCTCACCTAATGTAGGATATTAATAATTGGAGTATCTGGCATTCACCAAACATGTAATGTATACCAGGTTCTGTGCTGAATGCTGTATATGCATTCTGTTTCATCCTCCTGAAAGCTGGCCTGGCTATGCCGTTGTCCTCTCTGTTTTATAGTCAAGGAACCTTGGAAGAAGCTGTTGGAGACCAGGGGACCAGGAACTCACATTCATAGTGATGGGCTGTGGGGCTTCAGCAGTGGTAACTGAATTATGATGGCTGTGACGTTGCAGGCAGAAGAGGCTGGCACCAAGATAGGCGTGGCCAGCTGAAGGACAGTGAGGGTAAAGTCCAGATCCTCACTGGAGACCTTGGAAACTTCCTTTCTTCCAGATCACGCCTGATGGATTTCCAGACCCACTGCCATCCCATGGACATCCTCGGGACTTGTGCAACTGAACAGTCCCGATGTCTGCGGGCATACATGGGGCTGATTGGTGAGGCTGGGGCGTGTGTAGGGAATCAATAGGGTGGTCGACTCTGAGATGTAAATGCCCTGGAGCCAGCACCCAGGATGGTGCTGAGGTCCTGAGACAAATGGAAGAAGATGGATGCTGCAGTTGGAATTTGTCTAGACCCTGACAACCCCCTTCCTCTCTTCGCCCAACAGGAACCGCCATGACCCCAAACTTCATCAGCAAGGTCAATGCTAGTGTTGCCCTAAGCTGCACCTGCCGGGGCAGTGGTAACCTGCAGGATGAATGTGAACAGCTGGAAAGGTCCTTCTCCCACAACCCCTGCCTCAGTGCGTATGGCCCTCTTATACCCAGTGCCTGTAGCTAAGTCATGTATTGGCAGAGAGAAAGGAAGAGTCAGCTGCGTGGTCCACAAGGGTCCTGTCTATCTCTTTAGTTAGAGCATCCCTCTTTTGGGCTTAACCCTCCATCCTTCCAAAATGAACCCTTCTCCCTCCTCCCCCTCCTCTCCCTCCTCCCCCTCCTTCCCTCCTCCTACTCCCAGAGTGACTTCCATGCTGCCTGCTTACTACTTGTCCAGGCCCCAAGAACTTGAACTAGCAAGCAGAACAGTCAGAATTCGACTCCTACTTCCTGCCCACCTGCTGTATCCCAGGGACCCATGACATCCCCTTCTTGCCTTGGGAGTCTGCAAAACTTCCTGACACCTTGCTCCAATGTACTTTTTCTCCTGTGCTTAGCGGAGGCCATCGCAGCTAAGATGCGTTTTCACAGACAGCTTATTTCCCAGGACCAGGTGGACTCTACTTTTTCTGTGATGCAGCAGCAGGTAGGGCTTCCTCTATCATACACCTCAAGATTTTACTGCACTAGTTGGAGAAAATGCAAATCAATCAGACCAAGAGACAAGGTGGGAAAGATGTCATGAATCAAATAAACCTCTAATACACATGTCACGGGAAGGGGACAGTCATGTGACAGGCTTAGATGATAAAGGAAAAATGTCCTCTCGGCTGACTCTATTCCATTTCCTTTACAGACCCATAGCCCTGCTATAGGACCACAGCCCGGGCTACCTGTTCTTTCTTTCTTCGTACTTACCTTGTTTCTGCTTCAGACCCTCTGGTAGCTGGGCTTCCTCGGGGTCCTTTCTTCTTTCCACCACCACACCCAGACTGTTATGGGTGAGAAAATGACCAGCCCCTGGAAGAAGATGCAGTGTGCAACATCGCAACCCTGGACCAAGCAAGCATCCCACCTGACACGTCCTTTCTGCTCCACCTGAGGGCTCTGGAGAAGCTAGGCTTGACCTCAGAACCTGACTGGCTAGCTTTCAAACCTCCCTTACCCTTCTCTCTCAGGCTGTCCTCCTTAGAACTCTGTCACCTCAGTTTGACCATATATTCTGGTGATGATTTGCTTCGCCCCTCCCATCCCTTCTTCCTGCTTCCCAGGATCGCCCAGAGCCTACCAAGTCAATCATTCCCTATTGTGTTCTTCAGGAAGGCAGGGCTGAGGGTTCTGAGGCATCTGAGAAAGATGTTCCCTTTGTGAGGACGATTGGTGTTCCTGGCCCTTCCTCCCCTTTGAATGGAAGGTGAGAACTTTCCATCTTCACTGCTCTGCCATGTGATCCTGAACATTTGGGCATCAAGAGTTGGAGCCTTTGGGTTTACTGAATTCCTACTATGTCCCCAAGTCCCCCGACCCCTGGATCATGATTAAACATTTTGACCTAAAACTTTGATCTTTTCCCATTTCCTTATATTGTAAGTTTATACAAGTTTAGTGGTATGTGACTTCAGGCAGGTCTCTTAGCCTCTCTTGCAATAGAGTTGGGAGAAAAAATAGCATAGATAAAAGATGATATCCATCTATCTCTAGGTGATCCTGGTACCCTGTCTAGGGTTTACCAGTGCTGCTGCAGAGGCCCCCAGACAGCCACAGCATTTATTGAACCCTTGTGTTCCTGATCTGTTCCAGTTCCCAATAGGCCCAGAAGAAAGCAGAAGCTGTTCCTCGATCTCGAGGAATTTAATCCTACTGGAGTAAGGAAACATCTTCCCAAGTAGAGTAGTTGGAAGAATATATTTATAGGCTGTGAGTACTTGCTTATTTATTTATTCATTCACTCATTCTTTCAAAGGCCATCTAATCCATCCTGTCTCTGTAAGACGCTGGTGGATGGAAGAGGTTCCAAGGTAGTGATACTCAGATACTATCTCAACCCTTTCACCTACCAGCGTAGAGACACAGAGAAGACAGTCGTGAAAACAACAGTGTCATAAATGCAGCAACAAATTATAACAACCCTCATCTATTGAGCTTATACTGTGTGCCAATTACTATTTAATACATACTGTCTTCAAGAACACTCATTCGTTCATTTAAGCCTTTGTCATAGTTTAAAATTATTTTTTATATTTGTTTTTTATTTGGTTCTGGGTGTTCTGTAGCACATGCACACCCGGTGTCAACAGAGATGGGAAAGGGGCAGCCTGGGACAGGAATTACAGATCCTCCTGCTTCAACCTCCTGAGTGCTAGGATTACAGGTGTGGGTCACCATGCCTGGCTTCCCGCCGTCCCTCCCCTCCCTCCTTCCATTTTTATGGTGAAGCTTGGAATCAAATTCAGGGTCTGTGTACACTAGGCCAAGAACTCTCCCGCTCAGGTATTTGTCAGTGCTCTACTCCTACCTTCTTTTTGGGAAACAGGACCTGTGATGTAGCATGAATTCCCAGCTGGTCCTTACTCTGTAGTCCAGGTTGACCTTGAGCTTGTGGAGATCTTTCTCCTCAGTTGCTTCCTGTCTGGTGAGGTTGTAGAACTCTTCAGAGGTGCATCCCTACAGCAAGCCTCAGGGTAGACACTCTCCATCTCTGCTCCATTTCTGCTGCCTCATGCTCCTGCCAACATAGCTACAAGCTCCTACTAGCACAATGGATTTCCATCTCTTCAATTTGAGCCAAAATAAATTCTTCTTCCCCAAGTTGACTGTCAAGTATTTTTCCATAGCGATGAGAAACATAATTGGTATATTCTCAACAAGTCTTGACTTTGTCAGTCAAGAGCTGTGCAACCCTGGTCTGGGCCTCTCTGAGCTTTACTAAGCACATCTGTAACATGCAAAAGCATTGGCTGCACCTTATAAGGAATAAGGTACATCCTGTAAAGCATCATATCTGACACATAGTAAAAATAAGCATTTGTGGTGTATGGTGTCCAGACAATTCTGAAGAAGAAAGGAGAATCTGTAAGTCCTCACTCTTAAACTGCTAGAATGTTCCATGCACATCTGTAACATGAGGGTTAGGGGCATGTTTTGAAATGTGGGTAGGGCTGCACATTCAAGTGTAAGTCTCAAGCATACTGCAGCAACTGTGAATGGAGCTTGAGCTGGGCCTACCCTTCGTGCACACCATGGTCTTATATTGTATACATACATATGCATTGCTTGTTTAACCAGTTCTGAACTCACGGATATTTGGCTGTGTTTTTAATTTTTTATGTGTGTGAGCAAATAAGCATGCTATGGTACATGTATGGAGGCCAGAGGACAATTTGAAGTAGACACTTCTCACCATTTATGTGTGTCCCAGAGTTCAAATTCAGGTGGTCAGGGTTGGTAGTGAGCATGTGGTTGCTTGGGTTTTGAAATAGGCTTTCCTGAAGCCAAGGTTTGTCTCCAACTAGAGGTGAAGTTGAAGATGTGAGGATGATCTTCAACTGATCCTTATGCCCCTACTTAGTTTATCTTTTACTTCTGATAATATAATATCACCTGATAAATTATGGGGGAAAAGAGGTTTCTCCAGGCTACCAGGAAGCTGAGTCAAGAAAACCATGTGTTTAACATAAAGATTCCATTTTCATTAAAAGGAGTTTTATTAGCTGGGTGGTGGTGGTGCATGCTTTTAGTCCCAGCACTTGGGAGGCAGAGGCAGGCAGATCTCTGTGAGTTCGAGGCCAGCCTGGTCTATAAAGCTACACAGAGAAACCCTGCCTCAAAAAAAAAAAGTGGTTTATTTGGTTTACTTCTGGTTTAAGATCAAGGGACTATCTCTGGTAATGGCTTTGCTAGCAGAATCAATCTCTCCCTCCCTCCCTCCTTCTCTCTCTGTCATCAGCATTCAATCATGGAGGCACTCCCTTGATGATCTTATCTGATCACTTCTCAAAGGTCCCACTTCTAAATAGCAAGTTGGATTGTTTCCACTTTTTTTTGGGGGGGGGAAGTTGAGACAGGGTCTCACTCACTATGCAGCCCTAGCTGGCCTAGAAGCCACTGTATAGAGCAGGCTGGCCTCAAACTCACAGAGCCCCTCCTGCCTCTGCCTTAGGAGTTCTGGGACGGATATGCACCACCATGCACGCCTCCACTTTTTCAACACTTCACAACTTCAAAGAAACTTTCTGTGGAGGCAAATCAGATTCAAACCAGAGCACTTTCCATTCTTCTCTGATCTAAGTGTCTAAGTGTGTGTGCGTGTGTGTGTGTTGTGTGTGTGTGCGTGTGTGTTATGATGTAGATTAAACTGAGGGCCTCACATATGCTAAGTACTCTGCCACTGGGGTATGTCCCCAGCCACTGGCTTTTTTGTTTGCTTTTACTTAACAATATTTTATTTTATATGTATTAGTGTATCATATGCATGTCTGGTGCCCACTGAGGTTGAAGAGAGCATCAGATTCTCTGGAACTAGAGTTTCAAGAAGTTGTAAGCTACTATGTGAAGGAACCAAACCCCAGTCCTCGAAGAGCAGATGGTCCAGTGGATAAAGGCACTTCCCAGCAAGGCTGATGACCTGAATTTGATCCCTGGGACCCACATGGTAGAATTTGAGAACCAGCTCCTGTAAGTTATCCTTTGATTTGAATGGACATGGGTTCCTACACACACACACACACACACACACCACTGCCAGAGTAGTGGGTGGAAAGGCAAGCCTCTCCCTGCATATTCTTGTATCCTCATAGCCTGCCCAGCCCAGGAAATGCTCAGCCAGGCTGCTTCCCTGCAAACTCCAGTGGGGCCCAGGGTCTACCCACCTTCTTTCTTTTTCTCCTCCCAGGGAGACTTCTGAGCAGTCAAGGCCTCTCCATTGCTCTGGCTCCATTATCCTGGGCCTGAGGGTGTGAATGGTACAGTCATTCCTTGCTAAGTGCTTGAATTAGACTAATAGGTCATCTGTGCTTTTCTCTGAAGAAGGTCCAAATTCCTGGTAAACAACCAGATACTCTCCCAGCCCACAGCCCCGAGCCCAGATCAGGTGGAGGCACAGTGGCTAGGCTCTTAATGGTGTCATGGCTAGCTGGGTGGTTAATGGCATTAGACTTGTTTCTGTGAAGCCTAATGTGAAGGGCTTCTGGTAGCAGTGAAAAATGCTGAATGACAATCTTGCGACAGCAGACTTTTGTGCTTATTTATTTGTTTGTTTTGTTTTGAGACAGGGTCTCACTATGTAGCTCTGGCTGGTCTTGAACTTAAAGAGATCCTCGGCCTCTGGAGTGCCAGGTTAAAGGTATATGCCATCATTCCAGGCTTCCATCTTATTTTTTGAGATAGGACCTAGAGCTCACTGATTCACCAAGACTACCTAGGCAGCAAGTTTCAGGGATCCTCCTGTCTCCAATCACCGATGGCTAGAAGGTGCCGTGCCTAACGTTTTTAATGCGAACACTGGAAATCTGAACCTAGGTCCTTATCTTGTGCAGTGAGTACTGCACCAGTCCATCCATCTCCCCAGCACCCCAACTTGGCTGTTTTAAAGGTTGGAAATTATTATAATACCTTACATAGTGCTTCATACAGGATGAGCGCTGGGTAAATGCCAGCCATTGTGACTGTTGCTTCTGAGAGAGACCTCTGTGGACACCATGGCTTCTGTTCTAGGCCCTGGAACTGTACTAAGATGCTGCTGTTGACCCTTCCACTCATTTTGTCTAGATTCTATGCAGAACTGACTTAGGACATCTTTTCAAGAGCTGAGAGCTCCAGGATGGAAACCAGAATGCTAAGTCTGCAGCTCAGATCCCAAGTAACAGGAATGTTTGAATTACTTAGTACAAAGGGGTGTAACCATTATGTAGTGCAGTCCCAGAAAGTTCAAAGAGGGCTTAGGGAGGCCGGACAGTGAGTCAGGAGCCAGGGGCATCC